ATTGGTCATAGCGTTTTCGCGCCACTTTTCATCCGTAAATATTTTACTTCAGCCCGTCATACGATAACGGACGTTTTGACACTTTTTTGACAAATTTAATCTAACCTTAATAAAAATATAATAGTACAGGAGCTAGCAACGTCCGGAAAACGAAAATTTTGAGAGAGCTGGTTCTTTAATACCTATATCTTTTGCTGTGCTGTCCTGGCCAAAGTGCGGAGTAAAATAGCAAAATCGTTATGAAAACGAAAATATAAAATAACTCCAACGTATATCCGATAAACGGAGGCATGAAAATGCAATAAGTTTAAAAACTGCGTTATTTTCTAACCAACCAAAGTCTTTAAATTCTACCAGTAAAATTAATATCGTATCAATGTATCGTCGGACAACGGATGCATGAAAATCAAGCTTATGACTTGATTGCTGTTCATTACTCGACCGCTCGCAGGCCTCGCTCATACCTAAGCTCATACCACATACATCTATAAATAATTATTTAACAAATAAAATAAATATTTGTAACTAAAGGAACTTTATTAAATTAAACCAATTAATAAAATGTTTACATAATCCGCCATTCACAGCCAAACAAGACCCCAAATGATTGTAAAAAATGAATTCACGCCTCACAATTCAAAGCTTAGAGGAATAGTAGTTAAGAGGAATATTTAGCATTCCACAGAGATGTCGTTTTCAATTCATCTAAATTTCTGTATTTAATATGATGACTATGATGACTATTCCAAATGAAACGAAATTCTAGAAAAAAGTATAACTTTAACGCCTCTTCAAAAAAGTCTAATACAACTTTTGCACAAAATTATCTGGGAGGATAATATCTGACTTCTTCCAGGTTTACATCGGATTTCCTATGTCCCGTGTTCCGATGCACCACACGGTATACTCAATACATTTACTTTACATTGGAGTCATATTATTAATATTTCTATTTCATTGTGCATTTGGAATTTGGAATTTGGACCTTATCAAAAAAATAGTTCGAATACAAACTAAAGCCGGTCCCAGACACAACGTGCATTTGGCGAATATTCGGTACTCGAACTTATTCGCATAGCGTGTAGGAGTTTACCGTCGACGAAGATTCGTACTTCGTCATTTTCCCGGCGGTTGTCGGTAAACTGGCACAAATCAAACGAGCTCGTAGTGCGGCGTAGTCAACTTCGGAGTTACTCCCAGACGCTACGGCTATTTGTTTACGTGTTTTTTGTTTTAGCGGCGCGCTCCCCTCAGTTCACTTGTGTATTGCATTGGTGGCGGGTTGATTTCCATTTTCTTTATTACTCCAAAATGGAATGGACAAACGAGTTAACTTTGGAGTTTTTGACCTAAATATACTATTAAAATAATGTTTTTGACCTATGCATGCGAAATCAGGACACTTAAGACCGTAATTATAGGGAAACAGTAGGTCGCACAACGATGGATAAAACGAAATATAGACTGTAAAAGGATAAAGAGGATATGCCAAAAAAAGAGGTAATAGATATAGGTACCGTATGATCGAATATAAACGGCGGCGGCGTCAGCGATGGCTATGAAATGACGACAGATGACATTTCCCATTTTCATAATTTTACATATAAAATGACAGCGATCTTCATTTCATAGCCATCGCTGACGCCGTTTCTATTCGATCATACGGTATATGTCATCCACAGAAAAAGAAACACTGCTGAAAATTACACAACTAACAGCGACAATAGCTATCTGCTCTTCTTCACTGTCCATTTTGAACTGCAACAGCAATGAAAATCAAGACGTCGCGCGGTGGCGTTGCTCTACTACGGGAAATATTTGTCATTGGACGCATTTTTACAAATAACGTAGCGTGTTGGAAGGTGGCCGAAGCCGCAGTACATAATTCGAATGTTCGCACATTCGCCAAATGCACGTAGTGTCTGGGACCGGCTTAACACAATAGTAATTTTTTATGTTTATATAAAAATATTAAGGAAAATATTTATATATACAGGGTGTCCCAGGCTGAGCGTGCAATAGAAGTTTCTAGAGAACTAAAAAATCTAAATTGGAGATTTTTTGTACATCATTGTTTCACAATGAGATCTATCGATTAAAAATATTTTCAATATGGCGGCACTTCCGGAAATACCGGAAGTTGACAGCAACTTTCTTATTTTAAATGGGCGCCCCTATTTTTTATTACATACTTAAATTCTCTGTAAAATTTTATGAATTTTAATATCAAACAGTCTATACCTAACATTAACCGTTAAAGTTTTTGGAGAAAAAAAACTGCTTGTCAAAAAATTGTGTATAACCTAAATGTCAAATTGAGTGATTAGCACAGCCACTGCGCCATAAAGAGAAAACATGTGGCTATCTATTACATAAATTAAATTGTTCGAATATCATATAATAATGGCCGCAGCTGTCATAGAACTTAGCGATTAGAAAATTATCATAAATCATTCTTTTCAAATGGAAACCCACTTATTTTATTTCACTAGTGAAAAGACTTTTCAATTCGTTACTTTTTGACTATACATGTTCCTATACCTAAAATAAATCGTTTTTAAGTTATTTAAGATTTAGTTTTAAAGCGTATATTTTTCTTGATTTTAACCAGTAGCCTATGACTTTAAACGTCAAGTGATGTAAAACAATAGATCTGGCCATGCCATATTGTGACGCTTTGTTCAAAAAGCAGCATCATTTCCAAGCAGGGTTGGAAAAAATCATGATTTTTTAAAAAAAATTTAAAAAAAATAAGTTTTTTTTTATTTAAATCGGACTTTTTGATTTAAATCAGATTTTTTTGATTTTAATTCAAAACAAAATTTAAATCAGATTTCCAAATGACTAAGACTTATTTCCAATTAAAGTCCTATCCTAAATGGCTAACTCTGAGCGATACCGATAACATTGATAATTCTACGGCGCGTATCATTTTTCCACATCCGTCACCAATATATTCCTCAAAAAAAGTCGCTCGCTTCAGATCAAAAGGATTTTTTTTCAAATGTCCCAAAGTATTAATTTTTGTCATTTTAACGGCTAGGCATAAAAGTAAAGCACTGTTACGCCTAAGCACAAAAGTACAAAAATAATATATTATTAATCTGATATTAGGTGTCAAATCCAACGAGTAGCATTGTTTCTCGATTGCTGTTTGTATTATTTGCAATGTTTGAAATTGATTAAAAAATTATTTGTAATGTTTTAAAAAAATACTATTTTATCCGGAGTAAAAGTGTACTTTTTGTGCCTCCTTGAAACGTCGGAATAGTTTTAGGATGGTCCTTCAAATGTACAGCATCGTCAAAAAAAGTATAATTTCTACTCTTAATAAAACATTACACTACTGTTCGGAAATAGTCTTAAGTCGAGAATGAAATTATGTCGGTAGGAATTTGGAAATTTTTGATACCAACGTTTCAAAAAAAATATATATAAAATAACATTTTCTGACAACGATTATAGATTTTCGGGAATGAAGATATAGTCTCTACATCAGAAGAACCTAGTTCTGCACTAGTCTGCGAATGATACGTATTCGAACAGCGAATTTTTGTCGCTTATACATAAATTTTAAAATAAATCCCTGCGTTTAGCGGTCTAATGGATTCACACGTTATTACTTCAAAAATCGGTCGAACATTTAAATTGATGAATAGATATTTTTATATAGTTTTATAACATTTACAATTATTTTTCGATTTATTATCTGTTATATCTGTTATAGAAATATTTTTTATAGTTTTTTAGGACAAATTTTTATAACTTTTACAGTTATTTTTTGATTTATTATAAAGTATCAATAAAATTAATTTTTTGATTTAAATCACATGATTAAAATTAAAAAAATCACTTGATTTAAATTACGATTTAAATCATGATTTAAATCATGCTAACCCTGTTTCCAAGCCAACTTTGCGCTGTTTTTTTTTCGATCATACGGAATATTGTTAATAATATCAACTTTAGATATCACTAAAGAGCAAGAATACGAGACATACATATTTGTATAAATACACCTTTTAAACTCTTAAGCAGGCAGTATTTATAATATAGGAAATTTAAATAATTCGTATTCTGACAGATGGAAATAAATTGTCTGACCGTTTGACACTTAACGTCAAAGGAAGCTAGATATAAAATCAAGAAAAATATACGTTTTCAAATTAAATCTTAAATAACTTAAAAACTATTTAGTTTAGGTACAGGAACATGTATAGTTAAAAAGTAACGAATTGAAAAACCTTTTCATTAGTAAAATAAAAAAAGTGGGTTTCCATTTGAAAAAAATGATTTATGATAATTTTTTAATTGTTCAATTCTATGACAGCTACCGCCATTATTATATGACATTTGAAGAATTTCATTTTTGAAATAGATAGCCACATGTCTTCTCTTTATGTCACAGTGGCTGTGGTAATCACTAAATTTGACTTTTGGGGTTTACAAATTTTTTTGACAGGTAGTTTTTTTCGTCCAAACATTTTAAACATTTTTTTTCTTCTCAAAAACGGTTAATGTTAGGTATAGAGTGTTTAACAGCAATTTTCTAATCGCTAAGTTCTATGACAGCTGCGGCCATTATTATATGATATTCGAACAATTTAATTTATGTAATAGATAGCCACATGTTTTCTCTTTATGGCGCAGTGGCTGTGCTAATCACTCAATTTGACATTTAGGTTATACACAATTTTTTGACAAGCAGTTTTTTTTCTCCAAAAACTTTAACGGTTAATGTTAGGTATAGACTGTTTGATATTAAAATTCATAAAATTTTACAGATAATTTAAATATGAAATAAAAAATGGGGGTACCCATTTAAAATAAGAAAGTTGCTGTCAACTTCCGGTTTTTCCGGTAGTGCCGCCATATTGGAAATATTTTTAATTGATAGATCTAGTTCTAAAACAATGATGTGCAAAAAATCTCCGATCTAGATATTGTGGTTCTTTAGAAACTTCTAATGTACGCTCAGCCTGGGACACCCTGTATATTACCTGATATTTCAATGTCCTTATAAATATCGCTGAAGTCGGAATCAAGTTTATTTACATAAGCAGCTATAGGCTCGTACAATACCATGATGTTTTTTGAAAGTTGATGTATAGCAAAATTCACAAATTCTTCGGTTATATATATTTTCAGAAACTTAGTGAAGTAGTTTCTTTTTCTATAATATTCTAAAACTAGAAACTTGTCAGCACTCTCGACCATTTGCATAATAAATAATGTGTATATAAAAATTAAATCATCTGCTGTTGGTTGTAAAACTAAGTTTTCCGTGTAATTGATGGATAGTTTCAGATAAGGCACCTGGTCTTCTTTCGATGTAACATCGACGACGTGCTTTATAGTGCGACTTAAAGCTTGTCCGAAATAGACAGATATTAATCCATTGCATGTCTTCAAAATGCGATTGTACACCGCAGTTCCTGCTTTAGATTTCGTATTGTCCTCCTCCAGTATTTCTATTACTTTATTATGCAATTTTTTCATGTAATTTTCTCCTTCCTCTACGTATTTCTTAAATATTGCATCTAATTCTTTTATTTCGTAAGACTTTCCTCGCAAATTACTGATATTACATAGGGTCTCGGGTAACAAAGTGACACATTCGTAAAATATTCTTCGTACTAATTCGTGATGTAGCAAAAATTTACTGTTTAGCTCTGTCCTCATCGGTAGATAATAACTGTCGTAAGTTTCAGTGCGTCCTAAATATTTATACGGCTCCACAACAGATCTCCCAGGTTCGTTGCGATCTGGATAAACTTTTAAATTCACCCCTGCCTTATGTGTTACATTTTTAAAATGTTGCCTAGTTTCGTCCATAATGTTATTTATTATCTGAATATATCTTCTCTCTAATACTTTTACACGTACCTAAAAAGGATCAAAATTAAATATTTTGTTTCAATGTAGGATATAATTAAATTTCAAAATTAAGTTTATACGGTGTGTCAAAAAAACTTCGGTGTGTGATGGTTACGTTATAAAAATAAAACAAAAAGTTCCTATGAACATATGCCCTAAAATGCTTCCCGAAGTTACAGCACTCGAAAAAGTAATTAAAAATAATATATTTTGTTTATTTTTTTAACAACATGCCAAAGCGAATGATGATAGTGTAAAATTCCTTAATAGCCCTGAAAGGGTAGTTTCCATTAGGGTATAGAGTTCTACTGGTAGTATTTTTTTATCCTTATGGTGGGCGTCCAGACCTGAGGAGTCGAGTGCGAGACGAGCGCGAGACATTCTAAATTTGCGGTGTTTCTCAAAGGGTGGAGGGGTCTCGCAAGAGCCTCGCGACCGCCTCGCGAGACAATCCACGGAGCCTCGCTGCTATCCGCCCCCTGTCGGTTATTCGACGGCCGATCAAAGAAAGCTCGCGGCCTAGTCTGGACGCGTCTTTGGTAGGCTCGCTCGACTGCGAGATATTAGCTCTGATATTAGTGCATATTGAAATGAAGACTTGGACGGAAAAAGATCAGCTGAAATTCATCGATTTATATAAAGCAAAACCAATATAAAGAATCCAAAAGATAAAGAATATTAAAAAAAAACAATAAACACGATGCGTGGATAGATATTTCACAATCGATGAATAAAACCTTGGGAAGAATATAAAAGAGAATTATTAAAAAGTGTTGAAGAATTATTGAAAAAATAGAAAAGCTGTAGAGAAAGTTAAGATACACATTTTAAAATTATTATACAGTATACAGGGTGGTTCAAAATAGTGTTACGGATATAACATGGTTTTTTAAATGTAATACCCTATTTTTTATTTTATTTTTAGATTCTGCGTAAAATTTTATAACTTTTTTTTATGTATAATGCCAGGTATAATGTTATATATATACCTAAAACGGTATACCCCTAAAACTAATAGTTTTTGTAATATTTCAATTTGATTAAACAAAAAATGTTAGATTTCAATGTCGTAAAAAAATTGTCAGTCATGCTATTGTTTCTAAAATTTGTTAGGATAGTTTTATAGGGACGAAGAAAAAGATATAGGTAAAGACATTTGAGTTACATGCTACAGTGTGTTCAACATATATTTATGAATTTCGACTATTTAAAATTAAATAATCTCAAATTTTTTAAATGGAACACCGTATGTATTATCATTTTTTAATAGAATTTACAAATTTTGCATCACTGACACTTTTTACCGTACCGAAATCTAACATTTCTTTAAACAAATTGAATTATTACAAAATCTATTATTTTAGATATATTGGTAATATGATATGCAAAAATCCGTAACACTTTTTGAAGTACCCTGTATACTCTATAGTAATTTTCAAATGTGCTTTTTAACCTTTCCTATAATATTTCTATTTAACATTTTGTTCTAAGAAACGAATTTTGTAAAAGACGTCGCGTACAGGACGCGACGTCTTTTACAAAATTCGTTTCGAAACAAATGAAGGGTAAAAGGGGAAAAATCGACGATGAATAAAATACGACAAACCAAATATGTAAAAGATAGAAAAATTTATTACTTATGCGTTATTATTTGCTGCAGGTTTTTCATCGGACATGTTTACACAAACCGGTCACCTTTCACTATGATCCAACTGGCTTGTCTCGCGGCAGGCTTGCGTCAAAAAATGAATAGAAAATGTCTTGCTCTCGTCTCGCACTCGTCTTCCTCTAGCCTCGCTCTTGTCTCGCGCTCGTCTCGCACTCGACTCCTCAGGTCTGGACGCACCATTATAGATACAGTAATTTCAACAAAGGAGAGTTAAAGCTTGGACTTTTTTATGTAAAAAAGGTGCTCTTTGTTTAGTTCGAAGCGGTGAAGGCGTTTCAAGATATTTGCGTTTAAAGGTTGCGATGCATCAATTTTAGTATTAGTGAAATAATGATAAAATATGTATAAAAATTCTAAATAAATAAATTAATCTCCTGATTTCGCTTTTATATAGTATTGTCTGTTGAGCAGTTACTCTAATGGTGCCAGACTCTCCAGACCTGAGGAGCCAAGTGCGAGACGAGAGCGAGACAAGAGCGAGACAAGAGCGAGACAAGAGCGAGGCAAGAGCAAGACGAGTCGGAGACGAGAGCAAAACATTTTCTATCCATTTTTTGACGCAAGCCTGCCACGAGACAAGCGAGTTGGATCGTAGTGATAGGTGACCGGTTTGTGTAAACATGTCCGATGAAAAACCTGCAGCAAATAATAACGCATAAGTAATAAATGTTTGTAGCTTTAACATGATATTTGGTTTGTCGTATTTTATTCATCGTCGATTTTTCCCCTTTTACCCTTCATTTGTTTCGAGACACGACGTCTTTTACAAAATTCGTTTTTTAGAACAAAATATTAAATAGAAAAGTTATAGGAAAGGTTAAGAAGCACATTTGAAAATTACTGTAGAGTATACAGGATACTTCATAAAGTGTTACGGATATAGGTATGTTTTATGGGAATAATCTATTTTTTTATTTTATTATTAGATTCTACGTACAATTCGGTAAATTTTTTTGCATATCATATTACCAATATATCTAAAATAATAGATTTTGTAATAATTCAATTTGTTGAATTGCATCACTGACACTTTTTACCGTACCGAAATCTAACATTTGTTAGATTTCGGTACGGTAAAAAGTGTCAGTGATGCAAAATTTGTAAATTCTATTAAAAAATGATAATACATACGGTGTTCCATTTAAAAAATTTGAGATTATTTAATTTTAAATAGTCGAAATTCATAAATATATGTTGAACACACTGTAGCATGTAACTCAAATATCTTTACCTATATCTTTTTCTTCGTCCCTATAAAACTATCCTAACAAATTTTATTACCCCAGTTTCAGAAACAATAGCATGACTGACAATTTTTTACTACACTGAAATCTAACACTTTTTGTTTAATCAAATTGAAATATTACAAAAACTATTAGTTTTAGGGGTATACCGATAAAACATTATACCTGGCATTGTACATAAAGAATGTTATAAAATTTTACGCAGAATCTAAAAATAAAATAAAAAATACGGTATCACATTTAAAAAACCATGTTATACAGGGTGCTACAAATTCGAGGTACGAGCATTGGTATCTCGTTAACCGTAATAGATACGAACATGGTTAAATTGGGGCAAAGTTGCATGTTGGGATGTTCACCAAGATGTCATCAAAAAAGTTTTAAAAATATCAAGGATTGCTGAGTTTTTTGGAAAAAAACTGATTTTTTTGAAAATCAATTTTATTTTTTCCTGTCGTTGCTTTTTAGAAAATCAAAAAACTAATTGCACATTCTCATACCCACTTTATTAAGGCTATCTGATAGTATTTTTAGATTTTCAAATTAGTTGATAATTTTTGAGATACAGAGACGAACTTATTTTTTTTAAATACGGATCTGCATTTTTTATTTCAGATTTTGAAAGAAGTCGGTCTCCTGAGTACAATGATATGCCACACTTATTTTTTTTTGTTTTGACATTTGAACACAATTTATTTAAACTAATTTCAAGTCCGGCTCTGTTTTTTTTTAAATATTTAATCTTTTCATCGTTATTGAGCTTCTCATCAATATTGATAAGCTTTCAAACTTAAGAATGACGTGGGGTACAACATTGAATATGGCAAATCAAATGCAATAAAATGATATAAAATAATAAATATGAATATAATATAAACAATCAAATCATTTTCCCGGAAGATGGATTGGAAATGGTAGAGCAGTATAATGTCCAGCGAGGTTCCTGGACCTATCGCCAAGGGGCTACATTATATGACGTCATTTATAAAAAAGTTAAATTAATTAATCTCAACATTTACAATAAAGAGTACAAAATGCAATGCTTGCGGTATGCAATTTACAATAAAGAGTACAAGTAAATAAAAGTAAAGTACATACATGGTTAGTAAGTATAAGACAAAAGTTCAAAGAGCTATAAATAAAATTGAACGAAAAATAAATTTGTGCAATAGGGAGAGTGGTAACTCTTTCGAACATTAGAAACTAGTTTGTAGAAGTTGATTTATTTATAATAACTACGATTAATATTATGCATATTATTAGATTGCACACTGAGAGTTCCAATTCACAATAAAAAAAGTTAAAAATAATATCTTTAAAATAATATCTTTAAATTTCTGACCTGGATATTCTTTATTTGAATCTTCCAATTGGCTCGATTTTCCTTATTCAATGTTAATTAGCGCTGATAATTATTGTTGCAATGAATATAATCAGATTAAATAATTTAAGAAACCCAGGACTTATTATTTTAAATAATAATTAAATAGTTCTGTTGCTGTTAAGGTATCCAAAACAAAAAAAAAAGTATAAAGTGTGGCATATCATTGTATTCAGGAGACCGAGTTCTTTCAAAACCTGAAATAAAAAATGCAGGTCCGTATTTAAAAATATTAAGTTCGCCTCTGTATCTCACAAATTATCAGCTAATTTGAAAATCTAAAAATACTATCAGATAGCCTTAATAAAGTGGGTATGAGAATGTGCAATTAGTTCTTTGATTTTCTAAAAAGTAACGACAGGAAAAAATAAAATTGGTTTTCAAAAAAATTATTTTTTCCAAAAAACTCAGCAATCCTTGAAATTTTTAAAACTTTTTTGATGGCAACTTGGTAAACATCCCAATACGCAACTTTGCCCCAATTTAACCATGTTGGTATAACCTATTACGGTTACCGAGATACCAATGCTCGTACCTCGAATTTGTAGCACCCTGTATACGTAAGACTATTTTGAACCACCCTGTATACTCCCCAAGGTTTTATTCATCGATTGTGAAATATCTACCCACGCATCGTGTTTATTGCTTTTTTAATATCATTTATCTTTTGGATTTCATAATATTGGTTTTGCTTTATATTTATATCGTATAATTT